AGAGCAAGGATTCATTTTGGCTCGTGATTTCAGACCTAGGGTGCAGAAAATTTGGGAGGGGAGAGTTTGCATCAGGCAGCCAGAAGCAGAAGAGGCATCCAAAGGGCGTTTCCTCACCTCCCAGTGTTTTCACAGTATAACTATCCATTCACCAGAGCTTTACAATGTATCTGTAACCTTTTGTGACTTGCACACTACCCAGAAATGTGTTTTACTAACCTTCTAGGCATTCTTCTCTAGACAGAGTCTCAGTCACTACCCAGTTTAAGCTGAACTTGAACTCACTGTGTAGCCCAGGCTAGGATTACAAGTGTGTATTACAACACCTAGTTTATTTTCTTTCTTAGTCCGGTAATGTCGCCAATCATAACTAACCATTCAAGGGGGCTGTTTTCTAAAGTATAGGCTGGTTAGCAGTATTCTTGGCCACTTCCATTGGATACCTGTTAGCACCTACTACACGTATCAGCAACCAAAAGTGTCAATGTGTTGTCACATGGTTCCTAATATAAAACCATGTTTAGCTGAGACCTACTCATCATCTAATCTTAGTATGTGAGCAGAATTGTTTGCAAGCTGCTTTTAAAAGATGTGAAGCCATGTTTGTAGAGACAACATAATCTAAGGGAAAGCAAAAGCGCTATCAGACACTGTTCACCATGATGGTGACTCTGTATGTAAGATAAGAGAACTGGCTTTGGAGTACAGACCTGGGTTCTCTTCTGCTCTGGTACAAACTAATACCAAAATAACTTCAAAAGCAGGTTCCTTACCTTGGTGGCTTATCATGCCTTTGAACACTTGCCTTACCAAGAGTTCAAGCACACACTTTAAGGAAAAACTGTTAAATAACTTCCTTACGTACATCTATTACGGACACTATGCCAAAGGGCAACTGCAGCGAATACTGTGGGTTGGTGTGCTTCTATTTCCTCTATGTCCTTGCCAAAAATGTGGTCTGTGGTCATGGCACCTCACCACCTGAGAATATGTCGAGAGACGCCAAGTGTCAGACTGTGCTTTAAATTAGCTGCATCCAAATCTTTGTTAGCAAAAAATGACACGTAATGCTCTCATGTTCAGAGTGCTGCTGCAGACCACATTCCGCCTGGGCTCCCTGTTATCCGTGGGTGTAAAAAAATCTTAAAAACTACTTTTGTCATATTCTTTTTCCAGTTCTGGTTTATTTGACAATGAGGTCTCACAGATAACACCTGCATGCTAGCAGATGTACTAGGGACCTCTTTAGAAGTATTTTTCATATACTATTAACTTGTGTGCTCCTCCCACCTTCTTACGAGGATGACATAACTATCATTCTCATTATACAAATAAAGTAGCTAATGCCTACAGAGGAGGGTTAATTAACTCACCAAAAGCTTCAGTTATAAGTTCAAACTTATGTACTCTGGATCCAGAATCCATATAGCAAATCCTATCTCTAATGATATATCGTCTACCCTATTATTTTTCTAGTGAAAAATCTGAGAAACACTGTCATGGAAGTTCTTATTTACTTAAATTTTAGTATATAGGCATTACAAAAGGCAAAAAACCAGAAATGAAGCATCATTATTTTAAAGGAAGCAGGGGGATCTCTGTGAGTTCAGGGGTAGCTGGTTTTACATGAGTTCCATGACAGCCAGAGCTGCACAGTGAGACTCTGTCTCAAAAACAAAAAGCAAACAAAACAAAACAACAATAAAAAAGTGGGACACTTGTTGGTGCTTTTTTGGGGTGTTCCAAGCCACTTCCAGGAATTTGATTCTGACCCACTTTTTCCATTTCCAGGAATCCATGTCAACACAGAAGTGTGATGGTTACTAGAAGATATTTTTTTACACAGTATTATTTATGAAAGAAAGTTTGAAGCCACGTAAGTGCACACTTTTAGGAGAATAGACTATTAGGGAGCTCAAAAAGTCATTCTTTCATGGGACTTTCCTGAGATGGGGTAACTTTCTTTTTCTTTTTTCTTTATTCTCCTTTCATATATTACATCCCATAGTTTCCCTTCCCTCCTCTCTTCCCAGTTTCCCCCTACCCCACCCACCCAATCCACTCCTCTTTCCCTTCAGAAAAGGGCAGGCCTCCCAGGGATAAACTGGACAGAGAACTTTGCTGAAGCACACGGTGCATGCATGGGTATTTAAGCCAAAACACGGTGACACAGTAACCTCAAGTGCTGGATTTCAGGGTATTGCTTGGAATAATTCCTTACAAGTAATTAATTTCTTCATGGGCATTTTTAAATTTCTGAAGTACACGTTACTTATACTTCCATACACACCTTAAAGTTAATAATTCTAAAGTCAACTTGGGGACTGTGGGATTGCCCCAGGCTTTCGGTAAACATTGCCATTTTAGGTTATTGTCAATCTCGATCTACGCTGTGTATAAGCAAACGGCACTGACATGGAAGAAAACACAGAGAGGTTTAGTCTTCCAGCTGCCCAGTGGAGCACTTATCTTCCATAAAACCACCAGGCGGCCACTGCACAACAATACTGGTGGATCAATGAGAGTGAGCACAGTTACCAACACACCGGGAATAGTTATCTATACCCAGTCTCTTCAGCCTGGATAGCAGCAGGCTTTGCTTCTTCCCTTGCTTATCCTTAGAGGCTTGACATGTACTTCTAGTTAGACACAGTTTCTTTTTCGCTAGGCTTCCCTTTTGAAGCAACCTGATTTTAACCAGACCTCTTTTGTCAATCATCCTGCCTGGAAAGACTCAGGCCAGCCTGTGACTTAGCTTTTCCTCAAATGGAGAACCAGCTAAGGACACACTGTGAAGCACAATGCCAACTATGACTTAGTTATTAACAAACCGCCTGTATGCACAGCAGTACTTGAGTATTACAGGAGCAAGTAAAATCAGATGCATTTCATCAGGTGTTTTAGGAACAACAAGGCAAAGAGAAGTTTTGTGCAGATGTGTAGACAGGTCTTTCAGGTTGGGGGAACGGGCCTTTCGGATAGAAGACCTCAGGGATTGGAGAGACCTATGTGGGTACTTTAGGCTGGGAACTAACCCAGGGGAGACACCTGCTTCTTATCAGAAAAGGAAACAGAAACAGAAGATACAATACATAGGATTAGGAACTGAAAAAAAAAAAAAAAAAAAAAGCTGATTCTGGAACACTCCAAATTGGCCCCGCCCAAGAGAAGAAGGCATTTCATAAAATTCGGAGGGCTGTGGTCTTCAGTTTCCTGTCACGGTCTAGGAGGCTGAGGCTCTGGAGCACCAACTCAACACAGGAGAACGGCCTCTGCCTCAGTTCAAACTAATCAGTTGTGCTTCTATTTGGTTTCTATCATTGAGTCTATGGAAAAATTCTGTGTAAATTTTAAATAGCTTAGGAAGCAATTTTCCAGAATTATTTCATTTATAATTTGGAGTCCTGGTACCCTTAAAACCAACCGAAAAAATGACCAAGAGAATATACCTCCATAATGAAAAATTAATTCTACTCCTTGGAATGTTTTTATAGTTGTTAACTGTTAATTCTCCTTCAGATATTGTGTAAAAACAGCTCTGTGAGTCATTGCATTGATTTTTAAACTTCATTTGTAGCTGGTTAAAAAAACAAACAAACTAGTAAACAGGCTTTGTGATACTGTTGCCAAAATATAATGGATCACAAAAGTGCGCTTGGTCCGGCTGTACCAGTTCTGACTTCCTGATAAGAAGTCTCCAGGTACTAATATGGTAACATCTTGGGTGTGGTTTTTTCTTCATATTTCAAGAGTTTAGAGCATACAGGTAAATTATGTAGCAAATATAAAATGACACAAGTAGCACGTCTAAGGAGTACAGGAAAATGAAATTTCATGACACGATGTAGGAAGCAGGTAGTGATAGAGTATTTATTTTCTGGAATGTATATTTAATTCCTGTTTCATCCTTTTTCTTAGTTCTGTTAACAATTTCAGTAAGACTACAGTTCCTGATGCTGTGTGTGTCACTGCATTGGTGAAGTCCGGAGTCGTTAAGGAAAGTATTTCACATGTGCCATTACAAAAGCACATTTACTTTTGGAAAGGGAGTTTCAGTCGTTTTTTTTTTTTTTTTCCAGTTGAGCAACTAAGGTAAGAGGAAATCAAGACCTTTATCTATTGAGTCATGCGTGGCGCGTAAAGTAAAAACACCACCAGGAAGGGAACTATCAAGATCTCCTAGCTACCAATTAATAGCTTCGGACACTAGTTCCTATAGTGTCACACAGATGAACAATTACTGTCCACGCGATCAAGCCCAAAGCTCAGAGCACTATTTTTGTTTCTTAAGTCACATGTTGAAAAGTTTTATTTTTATTAATGTATGTTGTTAGTATCCTTCTTAGTGATACTGGAGGACATGTGGAGAGCGATGACAAGAAACAGGTATTAGCTGATTACTCCCATTGATTTCGGCTTACTTACGTGATTTCTAAAGGTCTGCTTATAGGGGGGATCTCTGAGTAGCTAATAGCTGTAACTGCCAGTAAAAAAAGAAAAAGGAAAAAATGTATATTTCGTCCCACGTAGAATGCAATTTTTACATTCAACAGCTCGTCTAATCTCGCGGGTAACTGATAGTACAATGACGCCAAATTCAAAGAACTTAAAAAAGTACCCAGTTTCTCTGTCTATTCTGTCTGGCCCCTTCGCAAAGCTTCCTTCGCTTTGGTGTCCCTCGCACAGAGAGCGATTTTCTTTTTTTCACTTCTGAAATGAAGTTCAGCCCTGCGCGACGGTGCTGCGAAAGTCGCTCTGGGAGAGTCCCCGTGTCACCGGGGCGCCGGCACGGGCTTCCCGACCCCGCCGTGCGGGCCGGCCGCCCCCACCGTCCGGGGCGCGCGCGGGGCTCCGAACCCGAGCCGAGGCCCCCCCGGGGCGCAAGCTGCCGGGTAGGCAGAGCCGAGGCGCCGGGGGCGGGCGAGCTTTCCCACGGAGCCCGGCCCCGCCCGTCAACCGCTCCCCGCGTGCCCGGCCGCCGCCCCGCGGCCCGCGCTCACCTGCTCGCTCCCGTCCTGCGGCCGCCCGCGCCGCGGGCTCGCCCGCTGCTCCCGCTCCTCCGCCCGCTCCGCCGGCGCCGCCCCGTCCTCGTCGAGCTCCCCGCCGCCGGCGCCGCCCCGCAGCAGCTCCCCGGCCGAACACATCGCGCCGCCGCCGCCGCCTCCGGCCACGCCGGGACTCCGCTCGAGAGCTCGGCGCGGAAGGGAATCCCCACGAGCGCGCCCGCCGGCCTGGGCGCCTGGAGTGCCGGAGCCGCCGGCCCCTCCTGTCAGCCTCTCGCCCCGCCCCCGGCTCGCCGGCCGAGCCCCAGGGGCGGGACCGAGGGCCGAGGGGCGGGGTCAGGTGGGCCGCGGCCCAATGGAGGCTGGATCTGGTGCGGTGGGCGGGTCTCTGGGAGGGGCGGGGCCAGGGGGGGGCGGACCCGAGCGGTGGTGTAGCCTTGTTGGGGTAAGTAACTGCATGAGAGTCTATGAATGAGGCCATAGGTGCCTGAGGGAGATAGTGTGTGTATGACAGGCTATTAATGTATATGAGAGCTTCTGTGTAATTGTGTGTCTGTAGCTCTCTGTACACCACAGACATTCTGTGTGATGTGATGTGTGTGTGTGTGTGTGTGTGTGTGAGAGAGAGAGAGAGAGAGAAAGAGAAAGGAAGTTGCCTGTGAGAAACATTTAACAGAATGCAAGAGGGAGATCATATATGAAAGAGGCTATGGGTGCACGAGGGAGGTTGTGCATCACAACACACTGAGATGTGTTTAGCGTGTGTCTGTGTAAAAGTCAGAAAAGAGGGAGTGTGTGATGTGAGGAAGCGTGCGTAGAAAACATTTTAACAGACTGTCACAGATCCCGCGAGGGAGGCTCTGAAAGAGGCCATCAGGCATGAGATTGTGTGTCTGACAGAGAATTACCGCAGCCTGTGTCTCATTTGTGTGTCGGGGAGAGACTCTCATCTGTTGGACAGGAGAAGCTACAGGTGAGAGGACTTCAGCACATGAAAGAGGTATGTGAGCGTGAAAGACAGAGCAGGAAACACGCACACATACCTAGATCCGCTCCTCCTCAGACACTGGGGTGTTGTCTGGGTGTATTGACAGCTGCTTGTCCTTCGAAGGGAATGCGGGGTCTCTGCCATTTCCTTCTCTCCCTAAGTACCTCCTGGAGAGGCTGTGCCTATTTCTCTTTGCTTTTTTAGTGTGTGTTCCTTGTTGGAGGCCCGGGATCACTTAGTTGTCTCTCTGCCATTGTGTTTATTTCTAGAAATGATTTTTTTAAACTCTCAGTGACTAAAAAGGGAGGGGGGGAGCAATCTAGTTCATTTTTCTTGTTCTGGCTAGCCTGTCCCTATAAGGGTTAAACTGAGGGTCACAGTTTGTAAAGTAACCCAGTTTCTCTCTTGCAGTCTCTCACAAATCCTCTTTAATAGTTTCTGCCAAACATACATTCTCCCTGGGACTAGAAAATATGCTTTTGGACATCACAAATTAGAAAAAAAAAAAAAAAGAATCTGGCTTAATGTCTGTCTTAAAGGAATTTAAAATCTTAGATGACAGTAATTAATGTTGTATGTACATAATCAGAAGCCAATGTCACCCTATTTGGAAAAAGGAAAGTGTCTAGTGGGAAAGGCTGGAGCGACAAGAGAATAGTGTGTGTGTGTGTGTGTGTGTGTGTGAATATGATCAAGTACATTATATGCATGTATGAAAATGTCATGATGAATTTCACCATCTTGTACAATTAACATACATGAATGAAAAATGGAGAAAAGCATTTCGCCTTAAGAACTCAGAAGTGCTCATGATGAGTGTCATTCTTTTTGCATTTTTGAAACTTTGTTTTGGCTATTGTTTCTAATAAATGACTCTAGGATTATATGGAGTGGCATAGAGAATGCCAGGCTTTACTGCCAACCTCACAGACTTAAGACATTGCGTTTCTCCTTTGCATGCTTGTTAATGCAGTGAGCCCAACAGCGCTGCACTGGTCAATTATGTGGAGAGAACAGACACTGCTTGTATATGTGAGACCCCAAACAGCGCAAAATGCATGCAATGGGTTAGTGAGAACACACAGAGCTTGGTTTGCTTACTGTATGAGTCCTTTAGAACATATTGTGTTTTTCTACTAGTGTTGATTCCTCCTTTCTCTCCTGATTTTTCAAGACCGGGTCTTGCTTATAAATCACGAGCTGGCCTTGAATTCAAGCCTCTCCTGGCAGAGTGGAGACGGCAGGTATACGCGACCATGCCTGACTCAGGCTCCTTAATTCTCTGATAACTGTTGTCACTTCGTGTTTCTGCAAGTTGTTACTGAAGGCTAGGAGGCACTGAGCTCAGACATACAGCCCTGCAGTCAGGAAACTTCCATTTTAATAACCTCATTCTAGTATGCATCTCTTGGCCAAAGTAAAATAAGATAAAATAAAATAAAATAAAATAAAATAAAATAAAAACTTTTATCAGGGTATGGGTAGAGTCCTATGTCCTTTTTCTATAGTATATATATTTGGTTTTTTTTTGGAAATGGTATGCTTTTGTTCCCATGAATTTTTTTCCCTAGATACAGAGAACATTACATTTTTCTACTAATCTAATAATAGAATCTACACAAGACATTATTCAGATTACATCCTAGATCATACACTTTCAAGTGCATTTTATGGGAAGAGTGGGCTATTTTTACTCTGAGCCATATGAGTAACGTCTAAAGAAAGCTATCAGCAACTTGGCCATGGGAAATAGAAGGTTGTTATTACCTAGGCAACTACAACATGCAAATTGCAGTTTTCTTTAGTATGTTTACGTTTCCCCAGGAATTAAGTAACGCTGTGTGCTTGTCTAAGGAATGTTCTGTGTAGCACAGCACGGCCTATGCAGTTGCTCTAAGAATGCTTTTTAATATCACACTGTCACCCCCTTTATCCCTTATTTTTAATACTCCTTCACTCATTTCATTTGCTCATCTTTCCAGAGGGAAGAGTGAACAAGTGGTCATGATCCGTCCTTGGGAAGAAATGCAGTTACCCCAGACTTCATTCTTCTCTTTGAGTGTTGGCTCACTGTGGTGGTACTTTCTTAGAAGTTTCCAATATTTTCTCTTTGTTCCTCATATAATTTGCATCTTCTTTCTTTGTTTCTTTCTTTCTTTTTGTCAGAACCTTCAGAATGAGGAGTCGTTTTTGAAATGTTTGAAATTGTAACTTAAAAGTTCAAGAACCCGTATGGTTTTGACTTGATAGTTGTGAATTTAAAGGAAAAGGTTTATATTGGTAAGTTCTCACATTGTTTTAAGTTCCTGCAGATCAAGGCGAGTGAATGTCTGAGTTATCGGTTTTCTTTATTTTTTAATTTAATTTATATATTTATTTATTACAACTTACTCACTTTGTATCCCCACTGCAGCCCCCTCCCTCGTTTCCTCCCAGTCCCACCCACCCTCCCTCTTTTCCCCCTATGCCCTTCCCTAATCCCCTGACCCTGGCTTATCCAGTCTCATCAAGGCTGGCTGCACTTTCAACACAACCTATACATTCCTGAGAAGAGAGAATTGCAATTGAATTGCTTGCGTCAGATTGACCCGAGGGCATGACAAATTTATATGGCATTCTCCTAGTTTCTAATTGATGAAGGAGGATCCAGCCCACTGGGTGTGGTGCCATGCCTGGACAGGTGGGCCTGGGCTGTGTAAGAAAGGCAGCTGCAAGCAAGGGTCAGAAAGCCAGAGGGCAGCAATACTCAGGTCTCTGCTTTAGTTCCTGCCTTGAATTCCTGCCCTAATTTCCCTCAGTGGTGGACTACGACCTGTAAGGCCAAATAAGCCCTCTCTTCCACTTCCAGACTGCTCTTTATCCTACTGTTTATCATAGCAACAGAAAGCAAAATAGAACAGTGGGCCAGAGGTGCAGATTAGCTATCCAGACAGTTGTTTGGGAAGAAAATTTGCCCTACCTGTCGGAATTAATTTACACCCTCTGTCCTCTTTCTCCCTGGTGTGTTTCCTTTGCTCTGCACTCTGTTGATTTCTTTCCATGCAGTAGGCATGCTGTCATTGGGGGTGGAGGGAATGGGGTGGAGGGAGACAGCAAGCATGAGAAAGCTATCCAACTCACTACTAAAGAGAGACAGAGAAGGGGAGAGAGAAGAGAAAAAGAAAAAGGGAAAGGAACCATTTACAAACTACCACCCACCATCTGTCTGCTGTCTTTAAAATACAGATAATGCTTTAAGGAAATAGTTCTGCTAACCAATAGCATTTTTAGGACAGTAAACACGCAACTATAAAGATATCTGTACCCCTTTGCTCCCTAAGCCCAGATATGAACTACTAAAAAAGGGTGTGTCTTGGCCAAAAGGAGGTTATTCCAAGGGAACAAAGTTGTCTTCAGATAGGAGGAATAAACTTTCTATGAATACAGTGTGGTGACCTTAGTTAATAACACTCAGTTGTGTACTTCAAAGTTGCTGAACACAGGCATTTAAAATGTGCTAGCTAAAAAAGTTGTAAGCAACTGAGGCTCCGGATATGTTGATTATCTTGCCATAACAATTTTATGATACTATCTGTCAAAATGTCACATTGCATGGGTTCCAGGACAGCCTAGTCTACAGAGAGAGTTCCAGGATAGCCAAGGCTACGAAGAGAGACCCTGTCTTGAACTCCCCTCACCAAACAAAAACAACCCAAAATGTCACATTGTCTCATAAATGCATGTAAGTATTATTTGTCAAAAATAAAAAAGTTTAAATACTTTAAGGTTGTTTGTATAATGTTCAAGCAGAACTATAGTCTAAGATGAAGTTTTATGGTGAACATCTTGAAATATAAGTGGAAGACTACAGACTGTTGGGTTTGGGGACATAAGCCTTGTAATCCTAGCACGTAGGCTATATAGAGGCAGGAAGATTGAGGGTTCAGGGCCAGCTGGGGCTACACAGTGAGTTTGAGGCCAGTCTTGGCTGCTATACATATGGACAATGTTTTCAAAAACAACAGAGAGAAACCAAAACAAATGAACAACAACGACAAAAAGTGACTTCAAACTGAGACTCTGTTATCTTGCATCTCAGAAATAAGGCCAGGAAACAGCAGTAAAAGACTTCTTCACAAAAAGGTGAAGTATTAAAAATTATCAGATATGAAATTCTGAGGACAAATAAATCAAGTTTTAAATAAAATTTTAAAATGTGTTGCTTTTTTCCCCCCTTCAGAGAATGT